GTTGCTGGTGATGCCCTGGTTGATGCAGCCCAGCATCCTGTTGGCTTTCTTTGCCACTGCAGCACACTGTTCCTTCATATGGAGCTTGTTGTCCACCAGGACCCCCAGGTCCCTCTCCACAGAGCTGCTCTCCAGCCGGGAAGATCCCAGTCTGTGTTGCACTCCTGGATTATGTGCAGGCATAAGATCTGACACCTGTCCTTGTTGAACTTCAAAAGGTTCTTGTTAGCCCACTCTTCCAGCCTATCTAGGTCTTCCTGCAGAGTGTCTCTCCCTTCCGAAGCGTCCGCTTCCTCACTCAATTTGTTATCATCCACAAACTTCATTAGGGTGTACTTGATCCCATCACCCAGATCACTTACGAAGACATTAAACAGTGTTGGGCCCAGTATCGATCCCTGGGGGTCCTCACTTGTGGCAGGGTGCCAGTTTGAAAAAGAGCTATTTACAACCACCCTCTGGGTGCGTCCTGTCAGCCAGTTCCCACCCACCACAGGGACCACTTGTCTAGACCATCACACATTGGTTTCTGTAGGAGGAAGCTGTGGGAAACTGTATCAAAGGCCTTGGAGAAATCCAGGTAGACAACGTACACCACTCACCTCACATCAACCGAGCAGGTTACTTTGTCATTGAATCTTCAGTCTTTCTTCTAAGAGACTTAGAACCATCAGGCTGCCTCCAGTTTTTAAACTGTGTGGTTGCTGAAATAAATTCAGAACTTGTTGGACCAGACAGTAGACTGTACCTGGATCCAAGATGCTGATGCCCTTGGATCCTGAGAAAAAGAGCTGTTGTGTGAGTGCTCTCTCTTGTGCTGCAGAATCTGACAGTGCCTGAAATACTACTTTTTTGGGGGGTTGGTTTTTGGGTGGGTTTTGGGTTTGGTTTGTGGTTTTTGTTGTTTGGGTTTTTTTAAGTTAGCCATTCAGTGCTTTGTAACTTGACGTGAAGTAGGAGGGAGAAGGAGAGCAAAGAGGCTTTTCAGGTTCAATTCTTTGACATAATTGCATTTATTGCCATGATCTCAATTTTATTTTCTGCACTGCATGCTTATGAAATCTGCAACTGATTGAGTCAGCTTATAGCATCGGGCTGTGGCATAGTGTAGTGTGAGGTTTATGTGGCTTTTATTACTATGCTGGGACTTCTTGTTATTGGAAAAAATGTAAAGATCAAGGTCCTACCTGTAATCAGGAGTTCTGTTTGTACTTACGGCAAACTCAGCAAAAGTCCTGTGTTAGGCTTCTGACTTTGAACTAGTTTTACCTTTTCAGTGGCAAAGGTAAATATGTACAGGTGGAAAAGGTCACTGGTCCCCTTGTGGGAAGTTCAAACTCAGAGGTCAGGGGATGCAGTGGTTACATAAGCCACATAAGGGTGTTTTGGGTTCGTTTTGGTTCGTTTGTTTGTTTTTGTAATTTATTTTGTTGTATTGGGGATGCAAAGTTCCAGAAGGAAAGGTGGTCTGGCTGTACCATTGAAGGACATGGAAATATTCTCCTTGTAGGCTAATTATATGAGGTCACCTTGTGCCTAATAGCAGCTAACAGCATGCTGTCCATGAAGTAATTCTGTCCAGGAAAAAAGCAGGTACAGTGCATCAGAAAGCTAAAATGGGTGGATTGAAAATGAGAAGAAAGAGCTAGTCCCTTGGGACCAGTGATGGAAGCAGACAAACAAGCAAGCCAGTATGTGAATTGGAAGGATTTTGTACTTTTTTCAAACAGTTCATAGGAAAGCCCAGGTTAGTGGTTCTTTGTCAAA